TTTTTTTTTTTTTTTTTTTTTTTTTTTTTTTTTTGTTGTAGTTGTCGTGGGCACTAATTACAGGAAAGTGCATTTTGAAAGATTTCAGGTACTTGTATATACTGTTGATACTTTGCTTTGCTTGACGTAATCTCACGACTTTGTTTAATTTGCTGCCATTGGTAAAACAACTTCATTTTAGGTTTCTTAATAGATGCTACCATAAAAATTTTATTTATTAATTTGTTTTTCGCATTTCATCTTAATACTGTTTTTGAAATCTTCTTTTCCAGCAAGCGTTTTTCTCTCGTCATTTCAGAGCTAGTTATTGATTGATCAAATTTCAGTGTAGATCTTCGTTTAAGATGGCCGTCTTCAGTAAGTTAGTGCCTGCAGCTGAACGGACTCTTACTCTGCTCCAGACAAGCGAAGTCATAGGTTGAGTTATTATTATTTAAGGAAAGCGTAGGTTACTCTGTATTTTCTTCAGTCTTTAATACCTCAGTGATTTTGATTTTTTTGTACCTGGTTACCACACCTTGGTTTAGATTGTTTTAAAAATTATTTTAAAGTAGGCTTCAATTTCTCCTTTCTTCGAATGCAGTATTAAGTAAGTATTGATCAGGTTTACAATTACGACGATCGGGGCATGCACCAGTATTCCGCAGGCGACAGGGGCAGTTAGTCAGTACTCGTATAAGAGATATAGCTCACTTTTATATAATTGGAGTTGGACTTATACCTATGTTCTTGATTCTCGCTTATAACGCGATCAAATATGGTAGTTTTTTCAGATTTGGTGTCAAAAAAATTTTTTTATCGAGTTGCAGAAATGTTACATTTGGGTTTTACTTTTCATGAAAAGTAACATTTGTTTCACTGTTTGTTATTCAGCCTCTGTTGAGTTTTTTTAATTGAAGCAAATGAGATCAACGTTTTGCTTGTAATTACTAAAAGGGCAGTGCTCACAAGTTCTAATCACCGTTTAGTTGTAGCAAAAACAGCTCATCTTTTTTTTTAGCTAGATTTTCTAATTCTGTTTAAAGGCCCTTGCGAACTCAAAGACTACCCTACTGAGGGCCCCCCTCCACGTCATTGGCAGTTTGAGAGAACGCCCATCCGTCAGTGGTGGGCAAAACACTTTGGTGCTTCCGATATTGAACGCCACGAGAGGACCATGGCTTATCGAATTAGATGCGAAATTTTGAATCGGTGGAGGTGAGGAGGGTTTCAACAGAATTTTTTTTGTCGTATTATTATGCAGAGTGAGTAAGCACGTCACTTATACAAAGTCAGCAACCGCCGCCCTTTTTTTTGTGTTTTTCTGATAATTCCTGTTCAGGCGAATTGAAAACCGTGTAAAACATCTTGAACATGAGCGACTGGATTACAAAGGATGGACTTATCAACCAGTCTCGACTACATGGGTTGATTATGGTCGATGGCAGGCCGAGAAGTATAGAGACCAGTATGAGGGACATGGTCATCATGCGTTGTAGGATCTTTTGGTGCAAAGGTCAAAGCATAGGATGGAAAATCGTTTTGAAGCCTCTTGTAAATAAACGGCACCTAGTATTTCCCCTCCTTGGTCGTTATCATGTTGGTATCCTGTTATGAATATGGGAAGTCTGTGTAACATGGTGAGTAGCTGTAGTTGGAAAATCCAACATCTAGCCTATTCTTCTTTAGAATTGTGTGTTGTGAAGACAGGTTTATTATAAAAATTGTTTATGATTATCTGTTGCTGTGAGAAGTAATAGCAGCAATATACCTTATCCGTTTCAAATGCTAAACTGCTTAACAGCACATCAAAAAATGACATCCGGGAAGAGGTGTTATACCTCGGTTTGCAACGGTAGAGTGAGATGGCAAGAAAGGAAGCGAAATAATAATAATGACTTCATGGTAAAGGGCTGGAACAGTATTGAATAAAGTAACCGGATTTCAGTTGTCACTATATCTAATGAAAGGAGTGAGCCAGTAGATTCTTGTCGATTGTGAAGCCCTCTGAAGTTGTACATTGCTTTGAACCAAACATTAGAGGTTGAGGATGTGACAATGAGTATGAGCTGTCTAATTTAGCGTAGAACTGGGTTCTTCAAAAGTACCTTACTATTGTGGTTACTCTTCAGTCCTGATTTACTATTATTATTCCATTTGGTTGGACTTCAAGTATATTAAAATTTCATTTATTGCACTTTCTTGGGTGGTGCCTCGTTCTTGTCGTTTTAGTACTTCACTGATATTAGACCTTTCATCATATCGAAGGTATTGCCGTCTGGATGGAGAATCATTACCCTGCCATTCTGGCGACTCCTAACCTCCAAAAATCCATGCTCATCCAGTCCTCGAATCACAACTTTTTCTCCAGTTTCTGAAAGCTCGACTTCCTCTCGGCTGAAAACAAAAAAAATTTGTTTTAAAAGGGCCGCATTTGTGGTTTTATGATATTAAAGCCTGATCAACATTTGAAAGGTAGGCTGGGGCTTTCAAACGCTCGCGTAAAAAATGTAAAATGCTTTCACATGAAGGCGGCACAAGGGTAACTGTTTTTAGTAGATTTATGATGGCTATCAGTATTTCGCCTTTGAAATGCTTCCAAGATACCTGTGCAGCCAAGCGTCGTAATAGTATTTGAGGAACGCCTCTCGGCCTTGCATTTGAAAGACTTCGACGTAATCTAAATGATTAGTAGAGAAGCAGTCTGAAGAATCTCGCTTTGCAATTTGAACATATTACTTGTTTAAAGAGAGATTTCATTCCTGTCTACTGAGAGTCTTTTACTTTTGTATCATACTAAAACTGAAGAGAAATTAGCTGATGGGGAAATGCATACGTTCAAATTTGTTTAACGCATTTGCTATAAATTCCTCGATAGTAAGCTTTACATCTGAATATGCTTGCAGCATATCATTAATACATACTGTCGGTTTACTGTTTGCTAAGTTTACGCCAGCTCCTAAAATACTGGTAAGGTGAGTAATAATACACTTTGTTTTTGAAGAGTCAATACAATTAGCATGAATCCATAAAATAACCTTTTACCTAACGTACAGATCATTCTATCCCCATTAGTAGAGGCATTAACTAGTAGACCTCCCATTTTGAAAGCTCGTCCATAATAAATATCATTCGGCCACTTGATCCTTAGAGGGAAGTCCTTTGAAATGCCAAAATCATTGTCGAGTTGTAGTGAACAAAAAAAAAAGACTAAACATCCAGCACGTGGTACGCAAAAAGTACCTTTATTTTAATTGCAGTCATAAAGTGCTTCTTCAACATTAAAGACGCCCTAAAACTTTATTCAGAGATTCGAATTTTACCTTAAGATCGTATAGTGAGCAAACACCATCGACCAAAGCTACACAAAGAATATGTTGGATAAACCCGACATTATCGGCTAAGGGAGTATCTTGTGGAATTGCGTAATTAAATGAAAACATAGCGCAACCAACAGGACTTAACCACTGATTACCGGACCGACCTAAAAATTGCAGTAGTAAAGTGCAGCAAGTAGACGGCATCACATAAAAGCCAGTAATTTCATAGGTAATGAATTGCTCCAAAATATATAATACTTAAATTCACCTTTGCCCTTTGTCTGTTGTTTAGCTATAACGACAATAGGTTCTTCAGGCATTGCGAAAGCGAGACTGCAAAAATAACTAGAAAACTAGAAAAATCAAACATTGAAGCATAGAAGAAAAACTCAGATTATTTAGCAAACGGACAGTTCCTCCCATAACTTTTAAATTCGGTGGCTAGCCTCATAATACATTTCAAAAATTTAAAAACCATTCAAATAAACTTGAAGGATTTTACACGAAATTTGAAGTGTTTGATTGTTGACACTTACTAAAAAGCCACATAGAAACAATTTAATTTTGAATGCCAAACGAATACCAAATATGAGATTCCACGCAACACTTATTAAAATAAACCTTTTGGCTAAATCCTGCGTTGAACTACAGACAGGGACGAAAACAACAGCCTTGCCAATCCTCGCAGTTTTTAAAGTTCTAAAAAAGAGCAGCTTCAACAGCGAAATTTACAGGAACTTATTAAAAATGTGCAGTTTAACTTCCTTGAAAATGGCAGTTCCATACGTCAGAGCGTAGAAAAACTATTAGCGTATTACCAAAAGTTGTTACCAATTGACCAAAAGAATTACCGGAAATAAAGATCTGAGTCAAATTCTGGTACACCTTTGTCTCTGGTCCTTACTTCAATTGGAATCAACCTATCACTAACTTCAGGCAGCTCGCCATGCTTCTCTAATTGTTTTATAAGAAATTTAGGGAGAGAGCCAATTTCCTCATTGAACCGCATCTCCTGTAACCTGACAATTACAAACGTAGAAATATTAAAGAGTGTTCCAAAACTAGCCAATATCTCCCAACCATCTTTTTCGAAAATAAGAAAAAACTAGCACGAAATTATTTGTTAAAATTTAAGCTACCTTAAACTAGGCAAAATCTGAAGGGTGAGTGTGAAAAATTATTACACGTATTAATGTTATCATTGAAATATGAAGAAAAGAATAAGAAAAAAGATAACAGATCTTCGTATTTCTTTGGTCAAAAAGCCCAACTTTCAAAATAATGTATAAGAAATTGTGTAAGAGATTCACTGGTGCGGATAAAGTAACCTTATTAAGCATGCTCCAGTAAAAATAATGTTTGATTAAAACTGCTACACCATACTCCACGTCCTTCAAAATAATATGCGTCAAAAAGAACTTTTAAGCCGAACAGAACAAATGCTTCGCAGAAAACAAAAGTTGCGCTTCAGTGCTTCAGAAGCAATCTCATTGTATTATTTTAGAAATAAATTTTTGCTCTGTAACTATTTAACAGCCAAACGGTACAACGTCACTACCAAGTCGTGAAAAACTTTACTTTTGACGGCAATTCTGCCTGGAACCAATTTTTCTGAGTGAAATGATAAACGTTATAAACTACAACAATTTCGCTGACAACAAAATAAAATCTTTAAAACATTACTGCCATCGAAATTTTTTCTTCTGATTCTTAGGTACCCCAAAAACTGACGCGGAACTGCTCTCCAAGAATGCATAACTTACAGTGCTCAAGAGAAAACAACCAAAGGTTTTTTGGAGGACAGGTTTGGAAAGGAACGAAAGGTGTAATAATCTGTTGAATTACACCTGCTGCACAATATGCGTTACAGCATACTTAACAGAGCATGAAATAAAAACCAAAGTTATCAGATCAAGGTAATCATTACAATAATATTCACTGGTATGCTGAAAGAGCAATTAGTTTAGATTTTATACGCATAAACCTTGATGAAAATTTGGATTTCTTCGTTCCCTCAGTGTTCGTACAGCAAAAGAATTTCATTACAGCAACTTAGTTTCTTTATGAAAAGAGGTAGAAACTAGGTTGGGAGATAGAAGACTCGTTTAAAAAGCTCAAAGCACCACTACGTTCGACAAACGTTATAAATAAATGACCCAGATGTTGAAAAATAACTCCTTTCCTGATAACTCCAGTAGATAAAAGCAGTAAACTTTAATAACTGCTACCTCTCAGTCGCCGCGCAATTTGAAAAGACTTTTTATTAGAAACTAGACGTCAAAACACTACACGAAATTTGTTGAAAACTCATGAAGCTTTTAAAACCTGACCTTCATTTCCCATGGAAGGCGATCATAATCACATATCATAAAACCCCTTGTTAAAGGTGGTAATGGAACAGTCTCACCAATCTGAATAGAAAGACGTGAAAAAGCATCTGCAATAAGTCGTGCTCCGTCTACTAGGAGCTGACTGCTGGTGACATCGCTGAATATAGCGCCTGCCTGCTGTGAAGCACTCTCCAAATAAAGCAGTAACGGAGAACCTGAATTTTACATAATCGTATAAGCTCTGTAAAATTTGAGCAAGAAGTCATCAGCAGCAAGTTTCAAACAAGAAAAAATATTAGTTAATCAAAGTTTTTAAGCCATTAAACCTCAGCTTCAATTTTCTGCTATTTTAGCAAGAAAATAATCAAGAATGACAGAGGTAAAATGTAAAGCCCTATGACACAAAGCAAAAAAACTATGTTGCAAAGTGTAACCCGTAGCTATACCAATACTTCTAAAATCGCACACGTTGTCAAAACCGTTAAAAGGGAAAAAATTAATATAGTTTTAAAAAAAGAGAAGTACCTTTTTTCTTCGTGACGGCAACTGAATATTTACATTCTCCACTGATGTCTTTAGGTTTAAAAGTTTCGTCAACCTCAAATTAGGATGGCCAGTTAATAAAACATGAGAACAGCTCTCATAAAAAATCAATTTATTTAATAAAAGAACTACAAATAAATGGCAGTTCGACAACAATTTTTAAAAGTCAAAAATGTAAAAAATGTTTAAACATTTATTAATTTAAAACTAACATTATAAGTGTTAAAGTAAAAGAATTTAAAATAATTCTACAAATCTTTGAGTTGTACCTCTTTGTGCTTTGCCACCATTCGAAACGTCTTTTTGAGAAAATTTTCTAAATCCTTTCCTAAAGCTATCGACTGCTTTTCTCCAAAAGCCATCTTCAAAATTTTAGAGCTTTTCCTTGAAAACTCGTTACTTGAAAAACTTGCCAATAAATCATTTTGACAAACAAATAGTATTTTGCCTGCCTACAAAAGAAAAAAAAACAATTAAAAAATTTTTTTGATGCACAATACTTATGCCTCTGAAACTTCGACAGCGGCGGGCGGAAAACAATAAGACAAGATAACAAATACATAACTACTGAAAATACACTTGCCCAAATAATTCATTAATGTTAATGCTCATAAACAAAGAAAGCTTACGTTATCGAAATATTGATGTAAGCGCGCCCAAGCTTCATCATCCAAAGAATCGGTATTAGTAAGCAAAAGACAAGCAGTCTCTCGGCTAATCCAAGGATGACTACGCAAAGCCTCTCGCGACAAGTGAAATACTGTATAAGTATCAGTCGACAACATAGAGGTAAGTGACTTAAGAATTTGATCAAATAATTCGCTATTGTCACCCGTATATACCAAAATCTGAAGTAAAAATTACCTAATTCATCTGACGTATAGTACTACAAAATGCTGTGATATTAAAAAAATTAATTATTATTTGCAACAAATAAATGAATCATCCACTTTAACTCGGATGGAAGCATAACAACACAAGAAAAACGACTACCGTAGGTGGTTTTGAATGAGCTTTCTCCGTCGGTGCGATACTATGGAATCGGTTACGCGACGGTGAAGACGGTTTCCGGTAGGGTTCAGGAAAAAATAACGGGGGGTGTTCTAACGGAAAAGTTGAGGTTTCAAAAGCCATAACGCCTAGAAAGTGCCGATGGTATCCTAAACAGATAGAAAACACTTAAGAAAACACCCTCATCATCAAGGTTCAGTAGGCGTAAAATAAAACTTGAAAGACATCAAAAAACTAAGAACCAAAATCCTATGATTATAATTTAACAACGAAGCTAGAGCAAACTTTGCTTTTCCTTAGCCTTTTAATACCAAAAATGTCCATTGCAGCCATAAAAAAGATGTTTTTTTAAAATATAAATAAAAAAAGTAGTCAAAATTTTTTGAAACCAAGACTGGGAATAGGGACCTACTATTGAAAAGAAAGATTATGTGACATGCTTAAGAAAAGATCACGAAAAAACACAAAAAATTGACAGCTAATCCTTTTCTTTTTCTTGTTGCTTGATTAGTTCCCTTCTGAAATAATGCTGTTTTTCTTTTTCTTTGTTTTATTTTAATTCACTTCTGAAGACTTAAGACTTTATACGCTCATATGTCGGAAATCGCCACCTATCGACACAAAAAAAGTGCTGCACATTGTCACAACAACAATAGATAGCCTATAAATTAAGTTCCAAAAAGATTTCGAAAAATTTATTTAAAAACTATTATTACTACCGCCTAACGCGATAACCTGCACTTATATCAGTTTCTAAACAACTGCAGATATTCTGCAGTGTTGCAAATGCTATAAATTCCTCTTCTGAAATGAGAAAGGAAAATTCAATTAGAATGATATGCCCTTAACGACTATCTCCCATTTCACCGGCAATGACGATGATGACACAGTGTTTTAAGTTCATTTAGGAATTTTCAAAAATGCGGCTATCAGTTGACAGATTCCTCCCAATAACATGTGACATTTCACATGTCTCAACACCACTGTTACATTTGTCTTTGCTTTTGGACTCTAACTGAAGAAAAAAAGAAAGTTGTCTAATACGCATAAATGATTCAAGAATCTGCGCCCAAAAGAACTATTCCTTTACGCAAACATTTATATAAAAATATAAATATAAATAAATGAACATATATATATATATATATATATATATATATATATATACATTTGTATAAATATATATAGATATAGATATAAATATACATATACATATTTATATCTTTATATATATAATCTATATATATTTATACAAATGTACACAGATATAATACAGATACGCGAGCGCTCCCACGTCATCGATACACTGGCATAAAAATGAGATGTTTGAGAACGAGCTTAACAAGAAGAAGGATGTTGCTGCTAACCGTAATCACCGTTTTCTCGGCGAAGATAACCAAAGATAACCAGTACTACACGAAACACACGCTGTGATGTTTCTTCGCTGGTGAAACCTCTGCCAATGTTATACTCCGATAATCAAATCAAATCAGAAATTCAGATTGCTCTTCGTTAACTCCTCTGGAAGAACTTTCAAATGATTGTCAAAATTGAACGACTGCCGAATAAACAACGGGCACACGGGCTGACGGACGGACGGACGGGCAGACGGACGGAACGGAAGAAGGCTCCGATAAGTCTACTGGCAACTTGATGATCAGCTAAGGGTCAGAGGGAGAAAAGAGAGGGAGGAATCAAGGGAGCAAGCAAGAGAAAAAGATGAAGGAAAAGAATGCCAGGCGCGTATTTGTTGTGTGTACATATGTGTGTATTTGTGCACCAAAGACTTCTCTACTAAACGGCGCTGAATCAACTACATATATAAATATCAAACAGCACGTTTTCCATTATATTCCACAAATTTGCCAAAGCGTTAGCTGAGAAGAAGATCGATAAAGAAAGTCTACTTCCTTTGTCTGCCGAGAATTAATGTTGACACTTATTAGGGCTAGGATTTTCTTTTTCTTCTTCTTCTTTAACGCTCCTCTCTTCCTCTGATGACCATACCAAACTTACAGCCTACTCTTACCGTATGTTCCAGTTTCAACTCATCATTCTGCTCGTTACTTATTTTTTTTTCTTTTCTTAAACAATTTAACTAAAACTAATTTCTTTTCCCCAAAAAATTATTGTTTTAACAGATTTTTGCTTGTTCTGTGTAAGTAGCTACACTTAATTCCCAGCTTCTTTTCTCCATTCTTAGCAGATGAACAAATCTAACAAATACAGCAACAAAATGCGATCAAACTTCTCTAAGCAATTCAAACACAAAGTCTTTTTTTGAAAACAATATCTTCTTTTCAACAACTTCTCAATTTTCACAGCAATACGAATGGAGAAACTGCTTAAAATTGACTCAGTACTAAAAACAACGGCGAAAAGGAGAAGAAAATAAGCAGAATACATTCTTTTAATATTGGTTGGCTGAAAACAATGGTGTTCTAAAATGCCAAACGGGCAATTGAACCTACTTTTTGAAAAATACAATCTTTCCACACCGTACCATAAAAATAGCTCATCGTATAATCAAGAAGAAGCAAAAAAAAACGTCTAATTATTGCCTTATAAATCAATCCTAATACTGATATGGTTTATTACTCGTGCTAAAAAAGTAAATTTTACTTACTTTTCATGACCACTAATGTATGCTAACCACTGTCGTAAATTTGAAACTTAAATAATAGTATTTAAAAAAAAGAAAAACTCTCCTCACCACTGAAGAACATCAATCAAGAACAAAATCAGGCAAGCAAATGAAAATAAACAAAAATAAACACAGTATTATGACAAACTTCAAATACATGACGACAATTTTTTTTGAGAGTGATTAAAATGGGAAAATAGTTTAAGTGGATGTCAACAACTTCCAATTAATATCACACCAGTATCTTTAGCTCTGTGGCAGTTAGTGCAATAAAATCCTATTGAACTAATTAATTTAACAATCAAGAATATGACTATAAATGACACTTAAAGCCAGTTACACATATCAAACCAGTCAAATGTTTTCCTCAAAGGCGTACTTTTACAAGTCAATTAACGCTTATTCACATTCCACGCTCTACGTCTCTTGTTGCTGACTGCTAAGCAACTCAGACATGTTACGATGTTATGAACAAATTAATCACCAACTGTACTTTTAAATAAATGAATGTATTAAAGAATAAATAAATAAAGAAAGAAAACAGAGAATTCAATGTTAAGCAAGGGAAAAAAGAATTTGGCACAGCTGATCACTAAGTACTGTTAGCACTGCTAGCCAAATACCCAAATACCCAAATATCAAATTCATAGCCAACTATAAAAAAAAGGAAATTCAGTAACCAAACATGAGAGATAAGTCATTTTTCTAAACAATTTATAATTGCTCAGATTTCTTTCCCTCGCTCTTAGGCCCAGTCTTCTTTCTGCACCAAAGCCTTTATTTTTTTCATTTATCAACTGCAAAACATGAAAATCTATTAGTAGAGCAACATCTATTAGTAGAGCAAAATCTATTAGTAGGGCTTAACTATCCAAATTGGCTAATTTTTTGCAAAAATCATTTTGCTGCCCTCAGTGCATTAAATTTCCAGCTGAAAAAGCTCATGTTTTTTTATGTGGTTAGAAAAACAGATAAGAAGAAAATGAATAAGGCGATGCATTAATAAAACGTTAATTTATTATTAACATAAATCAAACTTGCCAAACCATTTAAAACATCAAAAACCAAAAACCATCTTTTACGACTAAAGAATTGTA